TTCCATTAAAAGCGAAAAAGAGGTTTGCATGAGAGAGGTTAGTGTGAGAGAAAAGATGATATATATATTACACAATTGAAAAATTAAATATTAGATTTAACTTTTTATATGTTATATATTGTATATCATACACACTAAAAAAAAACTCGTAAAAATTTGTTTTTATATACACACATATATATATATATATATATATATATATATATATATATATATATATATATATATATAGTACGTGATATTATATTATACATACATCGCGTAATGTGTATTAATGGAAAAATGCTTAAACCATACTTGAATGCAATAGAAAAGACTCTGGCTATATCTCTTGAGCTATTCTTGAGTTCTTTTGTACTACCATTTGTATGACACTCATGCAACTGGGACAATAATTCGACGATTCTCATCTCACAAATGATCACGTTACGTACTTCATCGCTCTCGAAATGGGGAGTTCTTCTCTCGATTCTATAATGTGTGTGTAATATCCAATAAATTATATGTATGTGAAAGCACACCACTCGTGGTGGATTAAACATTAATTAGTATTTAAATAACGATTTATTAAACTTCAGTTAAAACAGTCAGTGTAAATTACACACCGCAACTACCGGATCAAATCTGGATTCTCTGTTTAATCAACTAATAACTCCCTCTATATACACCATATGCACGAAAGACTACTTTTCCGCGATTTTTTTGACAATCCGGCTAGTTGAGTTTACGATCAAAAGAGATGCGAAGATCGTGTGTTAATTAGTTCGACTCGTTTCCTCGGGAGAAACGTAAACCGAGAATGGTGAAAGTGTGCCCACGCGGTGTGCCGCGCGATACGTGGACAACCCGAACGTACGCACGCACGCACGCACGCACGCACGCACGCACGCACGCACGCACGCACGCACGCATGCACGCACGCATGCACGCACGCACGCATGCACACACGCACGCGCGCGTTGTCGGCCTTACTCCCTTCCCACGTGATGATCTCGTCGATTTTTCTGCCTGGCAGGAAATTTCTCTTTCTACCTCTGAGGCATACGCCCACGATGTACGAACGAGAAAAATCGCACGAGAAAAGCTCATGTCGCGAGCTTCTGCAAACATATTGACATCCGCACGAAGGATTCGTTAAGATAATAATTCATTTTTAACAAAACGCGCGAGATACGTTCTTATAAAATAAAAAAAAAAAAGAAAAAGAGTTCCTTTTTTTATACCTTCTGAGGTCTTTATTTTTAATTTAATGAAACCGTTGCACATCTCGCAGTAACCGTAGCCATTTATGCTGACGAGAGCACTTGCATACCCTTAGGAGATCCAGTATCGCCCTCGGTTAATCGTCACGACAATTAATGTCGGTGGTTCGTGAAAATGTCGCACGTGACGCGTACGAAAATTCTTTCTTCCTGTATTCAATGTGAGTAAAAGTGATCGTGCATGCCAAGACATCTATGTGAATATATAGCGCATGTACATCCCCGTGCCCGTATGTATGTACATCTATGTACAGAGTGTCTCGTCCGATCAACTTGGAATGACAGATTCGGGGACGAATTTGGACTTTCTTTTTTGCACTGAAAATTCGATGACATTCTTACTTTGATCTCTCTGGTCTAATTGTCATCAAAAGGATCAACACGCATGCATAAGAGAGAACAGTTGTCGAGAAAAGTTCGCTCAAGCGAGAAACAAGATTGCGTTCATTCTCGTGTCGAGAACTACGAGAGTAGCCGTCAATCTTCCGATCTCTTATATCAGTCACTTTTTTTTAATGGTTTCCGCGTTCTTTGATCTTCCCACAATTAGATTTTTCTCGGGATTGTCGTGAGAAAGGAAAAGTAACACTCCAGATTCGCCCAAACCTGCGATTAAATTTCGACACGACGAAGACGAGAGAGAAAGAGAGAGAAGAGAAGAGAGAGAGAAGAGAAGAGAAAAAGAGAGAGAGAGAGAGAGAGAGAGAATAGAGTAAACAGAGAGAGTGCGAGGGAGAGAGAGAAATAGAAAGAGAGAGAAGACAGAGAAGACGCTCTGTATATAGATGTAATCGTAGTGATCGTGCTAGTATATAAAGACAAATCGTAAAAAGTAGCATGTGCAAGACATCTAAGATAAAAAACACGTACACACCTAACGCTATGTCGACTAATCACGCTAGCTCTAGGAGCACAAGGATACTCTTGATTGTAGTGTGAGAGAAATCTAATTAGGAAGAACTCATGCCGAAGGGAGCAAACGCTTCCGGCGGCTCGGATCGCGTCAATTTCCGCACGTCGCGTTTACCTGCTTATTTACCATTTTACCTCGTCAGCCGACACTCGTACATGCCGATTAACGTGGCATGATTAACGCTTCGCGATTATGATTAGAATCCACGCGGGAGGAAATTTCACTGACACGTAAACGTACACGGAAAAAAAAGATTTGCTAATATATGGACAACTAAAAATATTAAGTGCAGGAGCAAATTTTTTTGCTTTCATAGCAAAATGATTTAGTTGTAATAGCTAAAAGATTTGCTAATATATATATATATATATATATATATATATATATATATATATATATAAACTATATATATAAACTAATATATATATATATATATAAACTATATATATATAAACTAATATATATATATATATATATATATAAACTATATATATATAAACTAATATATATATATATATATATATATATATATATATTAGTTTATATATATA